TCCATGGTGGTCTAGCTTTAATTAACTCATGATCTCAACTATTGAAATTACTAATAATATCTACAAAACCCCTTCTGATAAATAATTTAAACAATTCCTAGATCGAAAGAGATTTAACATTCGGTAAACATCATATAATGAGGGTCTATTTATAAAAAATATTCTTGGATTCCATCAAATATTTCAAACTTTAATAATCTATTTAGTCGAATACATTCATTTAATAAGACAATAAATCAAAGTAATTACAGTTGCTATGTGACATTGTCTAGAGTTAGATTGAGACTTATGAAGACAATTTTTCTTAAAACAACGTTTTACTCTATAGCTCGAGTAGAGAGAAAGATAGGGACAAACATAAACAGTCTTGTATGAGTTTATTCTCTGGATCATTATCATAAAAGGAATAATATAAATAGATATTTACACACAACAATATGTATCAGTAGTACCTAATCATTGCATATGCATAGTAAAACATACACAAAACTAACGTCCTTTTAACTGGGATACAAAGTATGTGCATCTATCATTAGAAAAAATATACCTCGATGTATATATATATATATATATATATATATATATATATATATATATATATATATATATATATATATATATATATATATATATATGTAAGGGTAGAGTTTCTTACCGGTGTCTTGTGTTCTTTGTTCAATCTTGAAAAGTGAGGCCTGGAAATGTGACAGTGAATTAACTTGGTCATCTAGAATAAAAATCTCTAGTAATGTTTCAGGTAATTTATTGATTTTTTTTTGTATATTTAGTTTATTATTATGATTATTGGCTTCATTTAATATTACATTTTTGTTACTATATAGAATTCTCAGTACAAAGTATTTCAATAATTTTCACTTTTTTTATTTTTTGATCGATTCTAACAATAAATATTGAGTGGTTGCCATTTAGATGTTAGCAGTGCAGGAATTGACATCGAAATAATGTTCATTCTTTTTGTAATGTATATTACTAACCACCATGATGTCTCTGATGATTGGGCCCTTTCGTAACTTGTACAGCGAAATGTCATAAACATGTCACAAACGCTCCTGAATTGGTTATGCGACTAATGGGTATAATGATGTTTTAAAACAAATAAGAAAATAGAAAACTTGTTGAAATATCCAGATTGTAGGAAAAGATAGTCCAGATATTCAAACAGGTCACCTGTTATGATGTCATGTCCTATGTTAAGGTAATCTGAATAATATTTCTTATTATTATCATTATGATTACTGTTATTATTCGTGTAAACATCATCACATGATATATCTTCAACGTGACAGGATATTTCACATAATGGAACAAAAGTTGGTCAATAATTAGCAAAGAAAATGTTAAACAAATCACTTCATCACTAATATGCATTAATCTAATCGTCATTATATAGTACATATAAGATTTTCTTCAGCCTGAACATGAATGTTATTCTAACGTAAAATACATAGCTTGATCATTATTCTACCATGACAACTGATAGACAGGAGGATTCTGAACATTTATGAAATGAGCTATCTACGGTATAACTTTGTACATTTATTTATAGAACAAAATTGTTATATAATCGACAAGGCTATAAGATATATCCTTCACTTACAGTGAATTATTTCATTCTGTTCAAGATAGTACTAATTCATAACTCATTTATGAATAATATTCATTCAATTTGTCAGACCAAATTGACCTGGAATAAAAAGAGGAGACCAGGCCAATTCATTGAACCTCCAAATGCCCTGGTACGGCCGAAAGTGAGGAGAGTCAGCTCTCCCTCTCGAAATGCTCTCACATAGCCATGAGTATACAGCCACTGCCACACAAGTCCTACTCACTGCCTTCTCGTAGCATTAGTGTTGTTTAAAAAATTGAGAGGACTAAAAGCGAATGTTAGGCGCTTTAAATGGGTTGGTGGATATGGAGGATCCACCTAGGAGAGTTGGAAAACCCTCATTCCAAGCCAATGGTGCACATGGGCTCCAATATCCTGAAGGAACAAATGGTGTATGAATCAATTGTTGGTCACCGGCTACCATAGGACTGTCTTTTGAAGTTGCTCCACTGCTTTGTGGATTATACTTTCAGGCAAAGGCTCCGGGTGTGGCTAAATTGACCTCGGATAAAAAGAAGAGACCAAATTTATTCATTGTTGGATTGCCAGACACCAACGTTCAGGATTTATCAAACAACACACATGTAATCAATTCAGGATAAGGAATTGATATAATCGAACTCTAATCTGTCGAAACTTTATTGTTCTGGCTTTCACATGGAGTGGAAGCCAAAATAACTCACAAAAAAATCTTTATGTCCCAAACATATTGGTATACATTTTTATTCACTCTCAGCCATGGGCCTAACCTAAATTTTGCTCTAAATTTACATCTAATTTTTTCTTATTTCTGTAATCAGTTCTCATAATTAAAGGATTAATGTTATTATTAACACAGTATGTCATTAGCAATACAGTAAGATAGAAACGACCTTCGATTTAAAATTATTGATAGGTTGGTTGGATCGATGCTTTTAATTGGACAGTTACAACTAGTTGGAAGCTATTTGGACTAAGAATTTCTACATATCTCATCGAGGGATTTATTTCAATGGCAATTCCAGTCATCTGATCGAGTTGTTTATTACACCCACTATTATAGTAATAGGTAACATGTTTAATTGATTTAAAAACTTTCGATTGGTATTGATTATATATATATATATATATATATATATATATATATATATATATATATATATATATATATATATATATATATATATATATATATTACTTACATAATTACGCCTGTTACTCCCAATGGAGCATAGGCCGCCGACCAGCATTCTCCAACCCACTCTGTCCTGGGCCTTCTTTTCTAGTTCCATACAGTTCTTGTTCATTTTTCTCATGTCTATCTCCATTTCTCGGCGTAATGTATTCTTTGGTCTTCCTCTCTTCCTTCGACCTTGAGGATTCCATATGAGGGCTTGTCTTGTGACGCAGTTCGGTGCTTTCCTCAATGTGTGTCCTATCCACTTCCAGCGCTTCTTCCTGATTTCTTCCTCCACTGGGATCTGATTTGTTCTCTCCCACAGTAGGTTGTTGCTAATAGTGTCCGGCCAACGGATCCGAAGTATTTTGCGTAGAAAACTGTTAATAAACATCTGTATCTTCTGGATAATGGCTTTCGTAGTTTTCCAGTTTTCGGCCCCATACAGTAGAACTGTCTTCACATTTGTATTGAAAATTCTGACTTTGGTGTTGGTTGCCAATTGTTTTGAGTTCCAGATGTTTTTCAGTTGTAAATATGCTGTTCTTGCTTTGCCAATCCGTGTGCCTTCACATCTGCATCAGATCCACCGTGTTCATCGATGATACTGCCCAAATATGTAAAGGTTTTTTCATCTTCCAAATCCTCTCCGTCAATTGTGATTGGATCGGCGCATGCTGTGTTGTATCGGAGAATCTTGCATTTCCCTATGTGTATATTGAGACCTACTGCTTCTGAGGCTGCTGCTACACTGGTCGTCTTCTCGTGCATTTGTTGTTGTCTGTGCGATAGAAGAATCAGATCATCTGCGAAGTCTAGATCATCCAATTGCATCCTAGATGTCCACTGTATTTCGTGTTTCCCTTCAGATGTTGACGTCTTCATGATCCAGTCGATCACCAGGTGAAAGAGAGAGAGTTTGAGAGTAAGAAACGTTGTCTGATACCCGTCTTTACTTCGAACGACTTTGTCAACTGTCCTCCATGCACTATTTTGCAGTTTAATCCATCATAAGAATTCCGTATGATATCGACTATCTTCTCAGACACGCCGTAGTGTCAAATAAGCTTTCATAATGTTGTTCTGTCTACGTTGTCAAATGCTTTTTCATAGTCAATGAAGTTGATGTAGAGCGAGGAATTCCATTCAATTGATTGTTCCCCAATGATCCGTAGGGTTGCGATTTGGTCTGTACTCGATCTATCCTTACGGAATCCTGCCTGTTGTTCGCAAAGTTGTGCGTCTACGGAGTCTTTCATCCTGTTTAACAATACCCTGTTGGAGAGTTTTCCTGGTATTGAGAGAAGAGTGATTACCCTGAAGTTATCACAGTTGCTGAGATCGCCTTTCTTTGGTATTTTGACTAGAAGTCCTTCTTTCCAGTCTTTGGGAAATTGTTCCTCATCCCAAATTTTTCTTAGGAGAATGTGGATATATATATATATATATATATATATATATATATATATATATATATATATATATATATATATATATATCAAATATAAAATATACCTATATTGGTTGATATAATGCCATGATAAAGAGTTAATTGTTAAAAACAATATTTCTTTAGTTTTTGATCGAGATCATGAATCGATTGATGTTAGACCACCAGTGGTCTAGAGATTGAGTGTTAGCGCATGCGACTGGAGGCCCTGGGTTTGAATCGCGTGAGGCGGGATCGTGGATGCGCACTGTTGGAGAGTCCTACAATAGGACGAAACGACCATCCTGTGCTTACAGATTTCCAATGGTTGTCTAACATCCATCGGTTTATGATCTCAATCAAAAACTTGATAATCTCCACAACCTTATACTGATAATATTTCTTTACTCAATTTTTACTTCTTATGTCTTAATGAAAATATTTATTGAGTTTGTATTTGTGAAATGACATACTAATAATAGTAATTGTCCTTTCAGAATCCACATGTTCAACTTATATGAAAGACATTCATTATTCTCATCCTCCTTCACTATCCCACACACCCCCAACTATGATACATCACAACCAATCACAAGTCAACATTATACTAATGGATAAATATAAATTCATTTAACCAATCAAAACACACTTGTTTCCTAACACATCATTAGGAATTATTCACCACCCTATTTTATTATTGAATGTAAATAAAAACCTATAAGTTACCATCCAGTTTTAATAGTAATAATAAGTTGATTCTACATTTAACAAGATCACAATTATTTACAATGGATCATAATCAAATAACTAATAATACATATAATAATAATAATAATGATAATCATACATTACAATTAACTATTAAAGATTATTCATATCGTTTAAGAATTGGTATAAAAGAAGATTGGAAAATTAAATTATTTCGTGAATATTATCCACGTCGTTTTCAAGAATTATGCATGGTACATTTATCATTTTTAATTGATATACCATGGAATTTTATTGATCAAACATTAATTTCCCATAGTAACAATAATAATAGTGGTGATAATACGATTCATTCATCTAATCCTATAACAACTAATGCATGTAAAGATACCAAATTAAACATGATGAATTCTGTAAATGTTGGTGGAACTAAAAAATCAAGACTTAAACGATTATGGAATAATTGGCGTATAAATTCACGTAAGTAGTATTTGAATTTTATGAGTTTTCTTTTTTTTTTCTTCAAATAACGGAATGGTTGAAAACTGAATGACATAGGCCAGAATCGATAACTGTTTCATATATTTACTTATAGCCCCCAAATGCCCTGGTACGGCCGAGAGTGGAGAGAGTGCGCTCTCCCTCTCGAAATGCTCTCACATGGTCATGCGTATATAGCCTCTGCCAGGGAAGTCCTACTCACTGCCTTCTCGTGGCAACGGTGTTGTTTACAAAAATGAGAGGATGAAAAGCGAATGTCCGGCGCTTTAACCGGATCCCAAACCAATGGTGCGCATGGGTTCCAGTATCCTGCCTGAAGGAACAAATGGCGTATGAACCAATCGTTGGTCACCGGCTACCATGGGACTGCATCTCCTCACGATGCTCCACTGCCTTGTGGGTCAGACGTTCAGGTGGAAGGCTCGGGGTGTGGCCCCCTAAGACAACCACCTGCTTCGGTTTGGGCACCCGGGCAGTATCACACCCTCACACAAATCAATTGAGATTCGTGTGGCGCATATGTATTTGGTGCCTCCCTGTACCTATACTTATGTGTTAAAATAAATAAATAAATAAATATTTACTTATAAATTATGTCTTTCATATCAAACGTGTTGATGCTATTCATACTAGTTAAGGGATATTGTCCTGATTATTTAATCTCTGTGCTAATATGGTTTAGTAACTTGAACCGATGAATAAATGAAGAATTTCCTACATTTATACCAATTTCGTTTTGTTGTATCTTGCACATCATTAAACTTTGTAGATCGGTTAACTTACTAGTCTAACAAATTTTTGTTTATCTGGCTTATGTATACTACACCATATAAAAACAAATAAAACAATATATACACCATTACTTATTTATAATTAGTAAACTATATGCTAGAATGTGATATAATTAAAGAAAATAATGCAACCGAATCATAAGATTAAATTAAATCAATTATTCACCCTGGCAACTTAATAATACTCTGGTGTCATGAATCGATTCAACATTTCCTAAATAATTTGAACCAGAAATGCTTCGATACTACTGAGAGTGGAGAGTGTCACTTGCTCTCTCGAAATGCTAGCACATGGCCACGTGCATACAACCACTAACAGAGAAGTCTTTCTCGCGGCGAAAGTGTTGGTTACGAGTTGAGAAATCCTCATTCCAAACCAATGGTACACATGAGTCTAGGATCCTGTATGAACAAATTGTGTATGAACCCATGAACGTTGCTCCACTGCCTTGTGGATAAGATCTTTAGATCAAAGACTTCGAGTGTAGCCCCTCTAAGAAAACCACCGGCTTCGATCTGAGCACCTAGGCAGTATCACAGCCCATACACAAGTCAAGTGACTTGTGCAGTGTATATGTATTTAGTGCTCTTTCATACCAATATTTACATGTTTAAATAAATAAATATAAAAATAACAATTATCACGGTTAATGTGTATTGAGTGTCACTTTACATGCCTTAGTTATTAATTATTGTATTTAGTTTGGTGACGACCAGAAATATTCTTTTGGTTTTTTTTTCTATTTGAATTTTTCTTTTGTCTATCTGTCTGTTTTTTTTTCTTTATTTCTTTCTTTCATTTATACTTCTCATTATTCTTTGAATCACTTAATGAAATGAACCGACTTGTAAGAATCCTTGGCTATTTTATATTTAAATTGTCGTTAACTATATATATATATTTTTTTTCTTTTCCTCTTCCTTGCAATTACATGTTTATGTGTATTGTGTGCATGTGCATAATGGTGGATGGGTTAGTGAGCAGTTAGTTATCCTAGGTGTTTGAAAAGCAAAGATGTTTTTTTTCAATGATGAACATAAACAGGTATGTTCTACACACACCCACACCCACACACAAACTGTTTTGAAACAGTAACATTTTATCGAAACAATAACCAGACAATTTGTAAGTACACTTACATATACCAAAAATACACTATTTAAGTAGTTGTTTCTATCATATCATGTTGTCAAGATACTTTATTTTATTCTATTGTTTAAACAAAAAATAAAATGTATCTCTAATAATGACACTTTAATTATGGAATAGACACAAGAAATTCACTTCTTTCATATTTACTACTATGTCATTTGTAAGTTTGTAAATTTAGTTTAGAGACGATTATAGAAATACAAAGATTATATGAAATTTATAATGAATAGTACTGCAATGAAAAGAAATTCCAGACAATAAGAATATATCTTAAAACAAAGAATGATACATTTTGAATTGTTATATGTATGTTAGTTGTATAGTGTTACTGGAATGTATAAAATGAGGGTGAATCAGTGGAAAGGAGTGTGGGGATGGGAAAGTGAAACAGATGTCTAGATATTTATTAAAAGTACAACAATTGAATCTTATTCCATCTGATTTACATACAAAGAAAAATGTAATTGAAACATTTGAATATACATTGGAATGAATGATGTTGTGAATGATTTACAATTTCCTTTTTAATAAAGTAGAATACATACCTTTCAGTTTACTAAGGTTTCGAGAACAATTTTCTGATAAAAAATTTTTCAGATTAAGAGTTTTTGTGGAGATGGTAGAAATTTGGTAGTTGAATTCATTAGTCAATATAAGCTAGACCACAATTGAAAACACGGGAAACTGGACATCCGTTTCGGCTCAGTATGAAACTCATCAGTAGTGCTCATCCATGATTTCGCATGTGACACCATGAATCGACTGAAGTTTGACATTAACACCGTTGAATGCTGGCTCAATGCCCTAGAGTTCAAACGTTGGCAAGCAAGACTAAAGGTCCGCATGTGAGATAATGGATATATACTGTTACTGATACATATACTAGGATGAAATGACCATCCAGTGCTTCCAGGTTTTCAATTATGGTCTAGATTAGATCGATTCTTGAATTCAACTATTAAATTTTATTTGTTGTATTCATAAGTTATTTGTAGTACTAATTTATTGCTCCATTTCAATAATTCCCCCCTGTAATGTGTAATAAACAAGAGATGAATATTCCAGTTTTACTTATCTTTTAACAGTAATTAAAGTTAAATGGAACAAATAGGGAACTGTGAATATTAAAATTCAACCTGGACGGTGACATTAGATCTTTTTAAATTTTAAATTTACTTGTTGAATTTATGAGTCAATTAAAGCTAGACCACCACCTGAACGGCCATTTTGTATTACTGTGAGACTTCTGAACAGTGCCCATCCACTACCCCGCCTCGGCGGACTCGAACCCAGAACCTATCGGTCTCGCGCACAAGCACTTAATCACTAGACCACTGAGTTAACCATCATCCAACCCATGATATTGCTTCACCATCCACTATTGTCATCAGTGAGTTATTATCTCACAACAAACCAAATTTTCCATGATAGTCTATCTTGAATTACTATAATATCCACTAAAACCCTTTTTGATTACAGATAAGAAGTGTTAATTTTCTTAATTCAACTTTCTTAATGACAATCATGAATCATTGAATAGATTCGATCAATGAAAATTTCCTATATGTTTAATCATAGAATCAGTATGAAATAAACATCAACATTTCAACTTGTTTCTCATTAATCAAACAAATTTTGTCATTTCACGAATGGATTGTGTTAAATTCTAATTCATACATGGGTAGCATGTGTATTTCTATCCGTATACTCATTACTATTATTACCACTTATTATTATTATTATTACTGTACATGTAAAAGGTGTACGCGATCACTTTTGTTTTGTCTAATTGACTTCATTAATTTTATTTGACAGACATGAAAATTAATCATTTTTCATTAGGTGAAAACCAAAATCAAAAAAAAAAAAAAAAGTAAACAAAAACCTCAATTTTGAACGAATAAACAATTATTGATTCATGAAGATGATGATGATGTTGTTGTTTTTGTTTGTTTTTTTCACACTTGAATTGTATTATTCATTGAATGATTGTTCCCTTACAATATCAATGTTTGTTTTTTGTTGTTGTTGGTGGTGGTGGTGGTGGTGATGGTGATGGTGGTGGTGGTGTTGACTTCATAAAGGGTATACTTTTTTGTTTATGTATTTTGGTTGTTTATATTTTATGATTCCATTGATATTTATTATCTACCTTCAATGATGTCATTCATATGTATCATTTATATATATATATATATATATATATTTTAATTGACCATTCAAAGAATTACGTAATAAAGAGTGAACAATGTGAAGTGAAGATTCTTAAAAAATAATAATAAAAAGGAAATAGTTATTACGTAATAATAATTGATTTATGATGTAATAATTATCGATATTGAAAAAATACATAGTAAGTTTAGATGAATAGCTAGTTCATTTTTGTTTATTTAATTGGTTAGATCACTTGTTAATCAATGAAAGAAGAACATAATTGATTTTTAACATTTAATCAAGTTTATATTTATTTACATGAACTCATTGTTTAGACAAGTAAATTTGTTGGATTCTGTATCAACAATTATCGATTTTTGTTATAATCATTAAAAGAATAATAATAATAATAATATAAATCATTCATAAATATTGGTGCCAAAGGACAACGAATATATATGTGACACACAAGTCAGTTGATTTTTGTGTGGGCTGTGGTACTTCCCGGTTGCCCAGAGAGACACAGGTGGTTTACTTAGGGGACCACACGAGGAGACTTTGACTAAATGGTCTGACCTGCAAGGTAGTGGAGCAATATCAGGAGATGCAGTGCCATAGTAGCCGGTCACCAACAATAGGTTCATAAGTCATCGGTACCCTTAAGATCCTGGATCCCATGTACTCTGTTGGTTTGGAATGAGGGTTTTCCAACTTACCTAGATGGACCTTCTGTGTCCACTGACCCTGTTAATCAACCCAACATTATCTTTTCGTTCTCTCAATTTCGTAAATAATACCTTCGCCGCGAGAAGGAATTCCCTGTTTGTAATTGTATGCACGTAACCTTATGAGAGCATTTGAAGAGGGAGAGCTAACTCTCCCCACTCTTGGCCGAACCAGGGCATTTGAAACTAATCTATTAAATGTTTGTTAGGTTCCTTGTGAAAGCGCAACACAAACTATTCTCATATTGTTGTTTAAATGTATCCAGACATAAATTAAGACAACCGATAGTGTCAATTGAATGGATATTGTATTCAATAACCATAAAACTTTTATTGCTTATCTAGTTTACAGACAATTCATTTGATACTACTGATAGTTTATAAATGAATTGTCTTTAAAATTGCTATAATTATGTTGAACATTACTGTTATATAGTTGTCTACAGTAGTTAATTACAATCGATGCAGTTCAGTCAGTGTAAATAATGATCTAACTAATTTTAGAACATTCTTTTCATTAGTTTGTTGTGTTATAAAACTTTAGCTTTAAAATTCAAATGCATTTAGAATTCAATGATAATATACTTTAATGGTCCGATATCTGACTCCAGGTTGATCATATGATTGATTGTTATTGTAATATATGTATCGTCTATCCACGTAAATAATTGTAGAGTTAATCCACGTTAGTGAATAACAGAAGTAAATGAGTCAAATACGAATGATTTGAACAAGCAATCAGAGAAACGTAACAAACAGGGAAGAGAGAAGTGATGGTAGCGAAGCGAGATGAGGCGTAGTGGAGCACGCGTGTGAGCCAACTCTATTGAATCAAGCGTTAATCGATGTTCATATCTGAACAAAACTATGTTACAGACATATGATAAGTAAGATAAGAAATGCACACATTTACGCTTACATAAATAGTCATGGTTGATAAGTGAATAATTAACAAGGTCAAAACGTGACTCAAAAAAGAATGAGTAAATTTATTTGTCCAGAAGCTAGAATAAGCTATATGGTTTTGACATAGGACCAACAACTACAATATCGTAGGATCTTAGACATTTGTGTATCGATCTAGCTTAGGTTGAAATGTTTTGGATGATCATCTATCATATATTACAATGGAAATACAAAAGACAACTATATCGTTTGAATATAACTAAGATTATGGTTAAACAGAATAACATTTTAATAGTTGAGATCATGAGTAAATTGAATCTAGACCAATATGGAAAACCTAGAAGTACTAGATGGCTGTTTCTCAGAAATACACATTCATGATATCGCCTCACGAGATTCGAATCCAGGACCTATTAGTCTCACACGCGAACGCATATTTTATTATTTATTTACTTTACCTAATAAAAAAAATGTATATTCTAATAAACTTATTGTCTATCAAAAAACAAAACACAGCTGGTATATACTTATTTATTTTTATGTACCCCTCTATGTATGATAATAAACAAGTTTCATTTCATTAAATCATCATCATCATCATCGTTATTATTATTACTATCCGTTCACAGGTGTGTATGTTTCCCTCTCTCTCCCCCTCTCCCCCCTTTTTTTCTGTTTATTGTTGCACATTTTGTGTATTGTAAGCATTATTATTATCCTATGTGAAAAACTTAACACAGATGTGATACAATCATAAATTATACTTAATTAAATTGTTTACTTATTTATTTAAAAGCACAAACATTAATACAAGCGAGGGTGAGGCACCAATAACAATATGCACCACTCAATAACAATAAGGCCAGTTATCATCATTGATTTGTGTGTGCATGTGCGTATGCGTGTGTGTCAGAGAAAGGGAAATAGAGAGTTGTAATATTGCCCATATGCCTAAATTAAAGGGAATCCCTTTTAAAAATAGAATTATTTATTGTTTATTTCTTTGATAGTAATCAATATTTAAGTGTAATCATTACAATTTATACTTGAATTAATGAATCAAATTGTCTGAAAATTCATGTCTAAAGGTCAATCAAAATTCAATGAATTAGGAAGGGTGAGAAAAGAACAGCTATTTTAGGCTTAATTAGTATTATTCATATATTATTGATCATGGTTTACATGTATATTAGTACATGATAAACATATACTGTATTCTATTTGTTGTTTTAAACAAAACATAGTTTACAGATGTTTACACATAAAATCATTTTGTAATAAAATGTCGATGAATTCAAACATATGTCAATATAAGAGACTGATCAATTGCAGTGCTAAACATCAATGGGAAGATTCAAGTAAAACAATATCAAGTGAATTAAACTTCACCCGATTGTACAAGCAAGTGGCTATCAGCACTCAGTACCTAAGTGGATAACGCGATGGTGTTTGAGGCGGATGGTACTGGGTTCGAGTCCCAGAGTAAACATCAACTCTGAGATGCAGGTACATCCAGCTGACTAGTGCTAAATAGGACGAAACACGCATCAAACTGCATTCCACTGCTAGCCACTATCCATCTTTGCTTATAATGCTTGTGAATTAAGAGAACATTGAGGCGATCCGCACAGGATGCACATGAGCCAATAAGAGACTGATCGATTTCAGTCCTAAATGACAATGGGGAGATACGAGCAAAACAACACTAACTGAGTTTATAATAGTCTCATATTTCCATACAAAGTGCTTACTAATACATTGCTATTAGTAATACATACATATATTTCAATGACTGTCTGCTTGACCTCACACTAGTTTGTCTGTTATCGTCCTCTCTACAAAATAAAAAAAATGATTTCCTCACAGTTTCCCTTAGATATTTATCTATGATTTACAAGAAGTAATATAAATATGTCACGTTTATTTATTTTGTTTTGTTTACACCATTAGATCCAGTAAAATCGGATTATATTCCTGATGAACTAGCGAATAACATTATCACCTTGATTGATTGTTTGGATAATGATGAAGGTAAATTTACATTCTGACTATCTTTTCTTTTTATTCATTTAATATTATTCAATAGTGTCGAAGAAAATTTCACATGATTTTACGATTCACATTGTTGAATGGTTTCTCATTTTTAAGAAAGCTAATATACAACGATCAGTACCATTCTATTGACTATTCAACAATGATCCACTAAACTGTTCTCGGTTGCTTCATTACACAGCCATCTAAAGTCTTTTTTCTCTACAATTCTTAATCACATGTTTAGTATTCCAGAACCAGTCTTCACTTGCAATACGTCTGTGACGCTCCTCAATCAGTGACTCTGCAGTTCAGCCATTCGTGGAGATTTGCACGATGGTCGCAATCTTCTCAGGTACTACATAATGTTGAGAATCTCACACGATCTTATAATCCACACCATTAAATGCTTTCTCATTTTAAGGAAGCTAGTATACAATGATGAGTTCCAATCTATTGACTATTCAACAATGATCTGTAGTATCGCTATTTGGCCGATGCCTGATCTATCCTAATGCAATCCAACTTGTTGACCCCTATGTTGAGCGTCCACTTAATCTTTCCTCTGATTCAGTTACACCGTTGAAATAGTTTGATGCCTCTGTTATTCCCACTCTTATTAAGATCTAACTTCTTTGGTATTTTGACGAGTAAACCCTCTTTTCATTCTGTTAGCACATGTTCCTCCTTCCAAATCTTTCTTTCGTTGTTTCAAACGATGTTTCGGTGATTTGAGAACCACGAGATTTTGGTCATATAAGCGATTTTCGTATTTCTTTAGAGATAGCCAGTGAAACTGCTCGTTTGTGTAGCATTTTATTTCTGATGAACAGAATACAACAGTATCTCTCCCGAGGTTAGTTTTTCTGTCTAGATTGTGTCCAGTAGGTTTCACTTATTCGGAACGCTGCTATGTTGTATCTCTTTAGCTCAGTTATTTGCATGGTTCTTCCGTTCCCCAACATTGTTTGAATGTTCCGTGTACCTAAATGAATTTTTTTCTTACTATTCAAAGATGACGTCGTCTTAGTGACCCCTGGAAACTCGGATTTTACTATGACGCACCCTACCTTCTCTAACGGAAGATTATCCAACTGACAGGGTAGAGTTTAATAGTTTGATTGGTTTTCTTTGACTAGTATGTTCTGTTACTGGGATTTTTACTAGGTTTAGTTGTAAACTCCATGCCCAACACTTCTACATTATCGAGGCTTTAGATCGTCTGTAACATAAATGTTTTTAAGCGGTGTTATTACAAATAACTCAAGTACATTTGTTAAAATATTTTAATTTGTTTAAAATGTTATTTTAGCTTGTTCTGTTGAAGGATTATTCCGTAAACCTGGACATACCTTACGTAAACGTCAAATACAAGAAGCTGTATTTCAAACAGATTTCGATCCAAAAGCTTTTCAATTGAATAAATATAATTTTCATGATTTTGCAAGTGCATTAAAATATGTATTGGTACGTTTACCAACACCATTATTTACGGCACATTTATTACCATTATTCTTACAAGTAGCTGGTAAGTATTCATAACTCTATGGTTTACGTATATAAGATTATCTTTTCCAGATTTTTATCACTTTTTTTCGGTAATATTAATGATAAATGAAACAATATCCACCCTTCCCTCCCTCTCTCTCTCTCGAGAGAGAGAGAGGGTATTTCTTGTTAATACCTATATATCTTGATTTGTTTTGTTGCCATGGTTCTACACATTGAATTACTCTACTAATCATGTTTCAACCATAAAAAACGATTTTACTCTTCAAATAGACATTATTTTTGATCAACTTAATTCATTATGACAGTCAAACTGAATAGATTTAAACAAGCTAAACACTTTCGAATTATACTTTGGTCTCATTAACATTTAGTATCTGGTACAATTTATTACTCATCTGTTTGTTTTAGTCTATAAGAATTTTTAAGCTTATATTCATTGTTGACTTACTACCGGTTAAATTTAGTATGTATATATATAGGGGTTTATATGATTATCATAGATTCTGAACTTAACCAATTTGTTCATGTCATATAGGGAAAAAGAAGAAATCAGTGAATTAATGGTGTATTGGGATTATTTGTTTATTTGATTTAGTAGTTAAATTCATGAATCATTTTAAGCTAGACTACTATGGAAAACTTAGAAACAGTGGACGGTCGTTTCGTCATGTTATGGGACTCTTCAGCAATACTCATCCATCGTCCCGCCTCGTGAAATTCAAACCCAGCACCTATGAATTCAACTACTAAATTACTATAATATCTAGAAAACCCCTCGCTTTTTATTTAATTGTTTTATAAAATTATTTCTGACAATTTACAATTACATTCTAATCAGGATTAGGGTTTACCTTAGTTACTAATACAATGGACGGATCAATTAAGAGAATAAAATAATTTAATCATAAATCTAGGTAATGATTATATACTGATTATAATCAACCGTAACACCATATCTACATTCGACTGGTCGTTAATATTGAAATGATTATACTTGATAAGTATACGTTTTAAATCGATCTTCCGAATAATCATTCTGATGGAGTTTTGTTCTCTGAGCTGGATGGTTTGGTCGTGGAGCTTTCATCGTTCTTCTGAACGATGAAAGTGAACACTTCACTTCTATCTGAAGTTTGTGCTGATGATGTCGTTCAGAAGAACGATGAAAGCTCCACGACCAAACCATCCAGCTCAGAGAACAAAACTCCATCAAAATCATCCACCTGAGCTACAAATCTTCTCCACCATCTCGAATAATCATTCTAGTTGATATGATCACTTTATTTTAGAATTACTTATCTTAAATCCATTTGAAACATTCATAAATTAAAGTTAGAATTGTGAAATGTCAATTAGTTAGTCAGTTACAACGTAGGACTAAGCACATATATATATATATATATATATATATATATATATATATATATATATATATATATATATATATATATATATATATATATATATATATATATATATATATATATATATATATCAATCCAAGTTGTTATATCTCATTAGCACAACAAGATGAACACTAACCCAATTCATAGAACTTCAAATGTTATCCACACATCTTAGTTATAACACTATATTGTTATTCAGTAAACTTGTAATAGAAAATAATCATAGTTAGTTAAATATGACAACTGTTATTATTAACTTCAGTTGGTATTGTTTGTTTGAATTTTCCGATTCTTATTTAGGACTGCATTTGATTAGTCTCTTGTTGACATATATGCATCCTGTGTGGACTGCTTCGATATTGCCTTAATTGACAAGCATTATAAGCTAAGATGATTAGTGGCTAATAATGGAAACCTGTACCTAGGTTTTGTCCTATTTGGGACATGTCAGCTGGATGTACCTACTTCTTAGAGTTGGTGTTTGCTATGGGACTCGAATCCAGTATCTTTCGCTTCAAACGTTACCACATTGTCCGATTAGCTACTAAGTCCTGATAATCACTTGCTTGTGCAATTGGGTGAAGTTTTCAATTCACTTGGTATTGTTTGTTTGAATCTTCCTAAATAGCACGAATCCCGCGTCAAACTGGATTCCACTGTTAGTCACTATCCATCTTTGCATATATTATTACTATTATTATTGATCCATTAACCAATGTTAATGATACATTCAGTAAATAATTGGTCAAATTCTTTTTATAAAATTAATATGATAGACAAAAGTGAATAATATTGACCTAGTTACTATGCTATCTGTTATTGATCGCCATTCTTTTCATTTGTATAAATCATATATAATGGTTGTCATAAATATAAATGTAATTTCCATTTTTCTTCAATATTATTCATTAATTATTCAAATTATTAATAGAACACGATATGACACTTTGTAACGATAGACATTCGTGTGTTAGATATAGTTGTATTGTTCTATATTAGTATAATAGACCACAAATATTGTATAGCTATATGCATACGAGAGAGAGAGTGTGTGTGTGTGTATATGATAATGTGAAATGTTAGAAATTACTACTTATAATGTTTTTGGTATTTAATTTAAAAAAAGAGTAGCTTAATGAACATTTTCTCAAATGTTTATCTAATCATAATGATGAAATGGTGTTGCTTGTTTGTTTGTTTGTATGTACGTGTGTGTGTGTGTGTGGATAAGTGTTCCTTGTTCAATTAATCAGAAGCCACAGATTTAAATGATACGACATAGTTACTCATTTGAATAGCTAGTGTTTATTTTAAATGATAATTATGACAATCACTTTAGAATGGATCTAATTATTTTAAATAGTATTTAAAATATATAGAGTAATTTGTTAACAATTCAATAATCAATCATAGTGTTAATGTTTAACTTCAATCAATCCACCAAGTTGTACGACCATCTTTCATGATACTGAAATACATACCTGTCTCTTTATTATTTATTTATTTATTTTAACACATAGATATTGGTACAAGGAGGCACCAAATACATATGCGCCACACAAATCTCAATTGATTTGTGTGAGGGCTGTGATACTGCTCGGGTGCCCAAACCGAAGTAGGTGGTTTTCTTAGGGGGCCACACCCCGAGCCTTCCACCTGAACGTCTGATCCACAAGGCAGTGGAGCATCGTGAGGAGATGCAGTCCCATGGAAGCCGGTGACCAACGATTGGTTCATACGCCATTTGTTCCTTCAGGATACTGGAGCCCATGTGCACCATCGGTTTGGGATCCGGTTAAAGCGCCGGACATTCGCTTTTCGTCCTCTCATTTTTGTAAACAACACCGTTGCCACGAGAAGGCAGTGAGTAGGACTTCCCTGACAGAGGCTATATACGCATGGCCATGTGAGAGCATTTGGAGGGGGAGAGTGGACTCTCCCCACTCTCGGCCGTACCAGGGCATTTGGGGGCACATACCTGTCTCTAACTAACATGAATTATCTTCACTGATTACAATTTCTCACTAGAACTCGGAGAATTCCCTCACAACTCTAGTCACATGTGAGCGAATGGTAATTATCATTATAAGATTTTGAAAATTATTATGTTGTTTTTTTTTATTGAGATCATAGGGAGGGGATCTAACATCAATCGATTTTATTTGTTTATTTATTTATTAGCATAGTAACTATTTTTTTTTTTAATTTTTTTTTGTTGTTGTTTATTTTAGCTTTAAGAAAATCTGATCAATTTAATCGAAAACATAATCATGATAAACCTATCACTACCCATAATACAAATTCATCATCATCATCATCATCATCATCATCATTATCATCTTCATCATTGTCCATTAATAATGATTATTTAATTCATTTAATTGAAAGTAAACAAATTAAAGCAATACGTTTATTAATTCAATTATTACCTAATACAAATATGAAAATATTAAAATGTTTATTACATTTATTAATTCGTGTTAAAAATTTAAATTCTATTAATCGTATGACAAGTACATGTTTAGGTACAATATTTGGACCAGTATTATTATCAAATGATTTATTATATGAAAAAATTAAAAATTTAAAAGTATGTTGAAAAAAAATTTTTCTTTTTTTTCTTTTCTTTTCTTTTCTTTTCTTTTTTTTATTTCTCTTTTGTTTCTTTGTTTCTTTTTTTTTATTGTTTCAAATGAGTTAAATTCATTCAGAAATGAATTTATTAAGTTGGTACAAAAGGGGGCATAAATCACTTGGTTTCTTTATGGGTTGTGATACTGCCCATGTGCTTAGAGGAACACAACCTGAGCCTTCAATCTAAAGGTTTTATCCACATACCACATTAAGTGATGTAGTCGAACAGTAGCCGGTGAATGATAATTCATTCATATCCTATTTGTTCATTCAGGTTACTAGAGCACATATACACCATTTGGTTTGGAATGTGGGTTTTCCATTAAGATGGTTAAAGCGTTAGACATTCTCTTTTCGTCCTCTCAATTTCATAAACAATAATAATGCTCCGATAAGCCAGTAGGTAGGAATTCCTTGACAGTGGTTGTATGCATGTGGTTTGTATATATTCATACATATACATTGTGTTGATTATTCTATTATCAACTAATCAACAAAATATAGTTAGTCAAATGAATGAAATTTTTAAATCATCATTCAAACATCTTTATTATCATCACTATCTCAAAAATATACATATTTATGTTACCATGATTTAATTTAATATGAAGTTGTTGTTCTTTTTTTTCTTCTAAACTCATAACACAGTAGGTAACCTGTTTGATTGTTTTGTTTTAAACAAAAAATTTCTCACATGCTGTGTTTCAGTACTTCTTATTGTTGTTGTTGGCGTATACTCTGAATATACACACTCAATATCTTATCCGATAAGACAATCTGAATGTTTTTAATTATTGTTCTTGTCAACAGATTGAATTGAATAATTCACCTATAGTTCTAGATGTTCAACATTGAAATTATGTTAATTTTGTTTTGTTTACTTACTTGTCTGAACATAGAGATAATGATTTCTATTATGATTTTAATCAAATCAATTTTATAATTAAATTACTTTAATAATTGACTTTCATATGACAAATAGAAACCAGTAGCCTTCAAATGCCCTGATAAGGCTGATAGTGGATAGAGTTATCTCTCCTTCTTCAAATGCTCTCAAGTGGCAACATGTATACAGCCACTGTCAGGGAAGTCCTACTCACTGCCTTCTCGCTGCGACAAGATAGCATTCTCAGCGCAAATTATTTCAACATATTTCCCATTTCTTATTTCTTCAACGATCCTCACAATAAATAATTGAGTGATCGCCAATTAGATGTTATCAGTATAGGAATCAACATCTGAATAATAAGGTATATTCTTTTCGATGTATATTGTCAGCAAGCATAATGTCCCGGATTGTGATCTGTTCTAACATGTACAGCGAAAATTTGTCAACTTTTAAGAAACGAGCTTGAATAGTTTGTGCAGTTCAATGACATAATGATCTGTTAAAACGAACAAAAAACCGTTAACTTGTTGAAATAGGTAGCCCATATATTCAAACAGGCCGCCTAGTTATTTATTATTATATCAGTACCATACACTAATTTCTGTTCGTTATTGTTTTCCTTTTTCTAATACGCATTCTACATTCTCTATCTACTTATAACCTCATCGTTATTGTGCATATGTACTTGGTGTCCGCTTCTATCGATATTTATCTATTCAAATAAATATATAATTCGACAAATCTGATAGTATGCGAAATGAATTTTTTGTCGGCTAATTTCCATCAGTTTTGATCGGATTGATTACGATCAGTCAGTCAGTCAGTCAGTCAATCGTTCAATCAATCATATGTAACATAGAATTTGACTCATGTGTCTATCACTTTAAATGACTATATCTAATTAGTACAATAAAATAAAATTGTCAAATAAATCCCTGAATAGTAGAAGTAACAATAGTATTACCGGTTATACCTTAATAGATAATACTGATAAAGTTGAATTATACAGATTACAATTTTCGTGATGATAATGATGTGGATTATGATGGTATTTATAAAGTGGTATTGATAATTTTATTTATTTATTTATTTTAACACATAAGTATAGGTACAGGGAGGCACCAAATACATATGCGCCACACAAATCTCAATTGATTTGTGTGAGAGCTGTGATACTGCCCGGGTGCCCAAACAGAAGCAGGTGGTTTTCTTAGGGGGCCACACCCCGAGCCTTCAGGATACTGGAGCCCATGTGCACCATTGGTTTTGGGTCCGGTTAAAGCGCCAGACATTCGCTTTTTGTCCTCTCATTTTTGTAAACAACACACCCGCCACGTGAAGGCAGTGAGTAGGACTTCCCTGGCAGAGGCTATATACGCATGGCCATGTGAGAGTATTTCGAGAGGGAGAGCGGACTCTCTCCACTCTCGGCCGTACCAGGGCATTTGGGGGCGGTATTGATAATACATTAATTTACTTGAACTATACTTACAATGTTTATTTTATTTTCTCTATAATAGAACTATAAACAACCATCACCAATTGAATGTCAAGAGAAATGTTTTCAACTAAATTCTATAACAACTTTATTAATTGAAATTGGTTTAGATATATTTTTATTACCTTATTCATTAGTACAAGATATTTGTACTAATAGTCCTTATATGACAATCTTTAAAACCGATTATCAATCATTATGTAATCCAATCAAACAACAATCGGTACAAATAAAAAATAATCAATTCACATTATTATTATCATCTCCACAACAATTACATTATATGAATCATATACAAACCAATAAACAAGATATAAAAAAATTAGATAATTCATCACCATTAAGAACAGCTATTAGATTTGCTACACCGACACCAACAAGTATAGCTAATTTTCAAGTGTACCATTCATCACCTATACAATTTAATGATATTATAGAAATTTCACAAACATATAATAGTAAACAACAATTAAAATTAGAAAATTGTATTCATCAAACACCAGTATTAAAATGGAGTCGATCAATAGGTGAAATATCTTCAGATTATACAAGACAATATTCTACTGAACAATCTCAACATGATGAATATTTCAATGTTATTTCTGTACGATCTTCAAAATTAACAAAATTATCAACGAATATGAATCATTTATCACCTACAAAATATTCTAATGAACAATTAGAGGTAAGTTATAGTACATTTGTTTCAATAATATATACTGTACATGTACAAGTCTGTCTCTACACTTCACTTAATCAATGAAATTACTACAATCTCCACAAAATCCCTTCTGATAATAATCAACATATGCTCATTAGTGACTGGCTTCAAGAGGTATATCCTGGAGTTCTAGTGAGTAGCAGTGACCAGTGGAGTTCAAACCAGGTCTGTTGTGGGATAGAAACTCACTAAAGACTATGGTGGATGTGTCGCTCAATTTCGTGGATTAGTTGAAGTTAGACATTAACACCGTTGGATGCCGCCTCAGTGGTCTAGTGGTTAAGTGCTTGCGCGCGAAACCAGTAGGTCCTTAGTCCGAATCTCGCAGGGGGCGATTTCGTGGATGCGCGCTGTTGAGGAGTCCCACAATGGGACGAAACGGTTGTCCAGTGCTTCCAAGTTTTCCATGGTGGTCTAGCTTCAACTGACTCATGATCTTAATCAATGAAATTACTACAATCTCCACAAAACCCCTTCTGATAATAATTTAACTTACCCAATTGATTTATTTTGATTGCTTTGTTCTTACATGACATAATTCGAAAGGAATTTGTTTTGTATACTTCAAAAAAAAAAACACAAACTAAATAGACTAGGAATAACAATATATTTTAGACATTATGTAATTGATGAAAGGTCAATTGTCTGTTCCCTTGGTTCTTCTAATTTCTAGTTATGTATGAATTAGGGAATGTTCACAAAAGTACTGTATCATCAAGGTCATTAAAATGATTGTTTTCATCAATTAGTATCTAATTTATTATCCTATGGTGTTCGTGATGAAACGATGATATATGAATTAATATACTAACTTTTAAAATGATAATTTAACCAAGGTAGATATGTGGTTTCTTTCAATAACATTAGGCTTTATATTATGCAAAATTTAACTTAAGACTCACATTTACTGAATTGGTTAAGTACACTAATCTCAGTATAGGGTTGTGGAGATTATCAAGTTTTTGATTGAGATCATAAACCGATGGATATTAGACCACCATTAGAAACCTGGAAGCACAGAATGGCCGTTTTGTTCTATTATGTGACTCCTCAGCAATGTGCATACACGGATCGATTGAGGTTAGCCATTAACACCGTTGAACGCCGACTCATTGGCCTAGAGATTAAGTGTTCGTGCGCGAGAATGAAGGCTCTGAGCTCAAGTCCCATAAGCGGGATCGTAGATATTCACTGCTGAGGTGTCACATAATAGGACGAAATGGCCATTCACTGCTTCCAAGTTTTCAATTATGGTCTTACATTACTCGGTTCATGATCTCAATGTAGTACACTAATACACATGAGAAAAATGTCCTCTGAGTTTATTTATTAATAACAATAAAATTAGTAATAATTTTACTCTTATTTACTTATATTTTTGGTTTTTATTATTTTTTTTTTTTTCATATTTGTTATCATTTTTTAGGATATTTGTATGGATAGTGTAAAAAGAAAATTTGTCAAAAGAAGACGATTCACTGAGTTACGTTTACCTTCAACTATAAATCGTACAGGTGGTAGTAGAAATTGTCATCGTCGTTATTTATTCTCACCATGTCCTCCTATTCCTTTATTACCATTTAAACGTATAGGTGGAGAAAAACGTAACATGAATATTTCTCCATTATCTACAATTAAAGGATCTTTAACAAAGACAGTTTTACCATCATGGTAATATTGTATATACATTACAATATCTCTTTTATTTTGTATATATCTATCTATCTATCTATCTATCTTCATCAGATCAATTTTGAATTGTTTCAACTGTGTTAGACAGACATCATTCATCCATCATTCCATTCCATTCCATTCCATTCCATTCCATTTTGCCTTGTATTCTAATTATTTTAAACCAATTATTTTATCTAATGTATTTGTACAGATTTCTTTATTAATTATCTTTATTTATTACTTTAAACATATATGTGTATAATTCCAATTTTGTAAAGTTATAAAACTTACGATTGACTTAGAACAGGTTAAATGAATACATTATGAAATATAATCATCATTTGAATTCAATTTATTTGATTTATTTCTTTATTTGAACACATAAATATTGGTATAATGGGGTAACAAATATATATATATATATATATATATATATATATATATATATATATGCGACACACAAGTTACCTGATTTGTGTGAGTGCTGATATACTGTCCAGATGCCCAGACTTAAACAGGTGGTTTCCTTAGAGAGCCACCTACGGAGCCTTTGACCTAAAGGTCTAATCCACAAGGCAGGTTAGGATATGCGGTCCCACGGTAGCCGGTGACTGATAGTTCATTCATATCCCATTTGTTCCTTCAGGATACTGGAGCTCATGTGTACGATTGGTTTGGAATGAAGGTTTTCCAACTGCCATAGGTGGACTGTCCGTGTCCATAAACACGGTTAGAGCGCTAGACATTAGATTTTCGTCCTCTCAATTTCGTAATGAACAGTGATATCTTAAGAAGGCAGTGAGTAGGACTTTCCAAGCAGTGGTTGTATGCACATGGTTATGTGAGAGCATTTGGGGAGGGAAAGCTGACTCTACCCACCCTTGGCGGTACCAGGGCATTTGAGGGCTTTTGAATTCAATCCTGCTATTAATTTGAAAATATGATATCACTAACTATAGGTAAAAACGTTGTTGATACAAAATAATTGTGGAATAAGTCATGGAATAGTTATTCATATGTATATATTACATAGATGACTTTTATCAGTCGCTAAGGACAACCATCCATTTCCGTTATAGATGTGATATCAAGTCCCATTTGAATATAGATTTCAGTTTTGAATCTTTATGAAATTGTGGGTGATTTTAGTATTATTGAAAACTGTGGTTTTGCTAATATGATACATCCCCCTAGGAGCGTACACATGCAACCCAATTCTCGGTTCTCTTTGAAATATTCACATGACTTCACTGTGTAACGTACTTTGTTGAGAAAATTGTTGAGTACATTCTTTTTCAACGTTACATACTTGTATTAGATATCCGAAAACGTTTATTGATTATGTGTCATCTATAATCGGTTATTCATTTAAATGAACTGATACAATATTCAATATGAATTTTCATCATACGAATAATCATCCATACCTATTTTATTTTAAAGAAGATTCTACATCTTCACTAAATTTCCTCGATTAGAATATTCAATAGTACCCTAGCAACAACCAGTTATTTAAAATAGTTAAGTATCTATTATCAGCGCTTTACCACTTCAATTGTATTCTGTTCAATTAAGTGATTTAACCCATATAATAAACTCGATTAGTTTTATTTTTTCATTCAACTGTTTATCTTGACAAACTGTACATATAACAGTTTTTTAATATTCTTTGTGAGATCCAACAAATGATACTGAACGTTTTACCATCTAGCGTAAATCAACAACAAAGAATGATTACCAAATTCCTGGATGATGATGTACTGGTAAACAGTTACAATATATTAGATCTAAAACATATAAGATTAATGTTGCTCAATAAATTCAGTGTAAATATCATAATATAAGATTATCTTATAGAATATAAGCAAAAAAACAACAACTTATCTAATGTTAATCACTAACGCTATTGACCTCATTTTAAGAGATTATTTGGTTACTTCATGAGTACTACTCATTGTTTATATAATCATGTCATCAATAGACGTCTAAATAATATATAACTACTTATTACGTAATCAATTATGGTTAGAAATGGTTGATTATTTCATATCACATATTCCTAATGTTATAGGAATGAGCTTAACTGTTTAATCACTATGTCAAGCTGTTTAAATTAAATTTTGATTAGAATTCAATTTAAGAAAACTAAGTGTAGCTTTTTGTCTAGTTATCACTATGATCATTAATATTTATAATAATATGAATAAGAATATGATAATGATGAACAGACTATCCAGAGATTTTCTACTCCTTTAATTTTAACTAACGATTGTTATTTTCAACATGATCTTGATATCAATGTGATCTTATTTAGGATAAATTACTTCACTTATGTTAAGGTAATAGTACAAACAAATTGACTATATAATTATTCAGTCAGTACTATATAATCAGATTGGGGTTTTGTGGATATTATAGTAATTTAGTAGTTAAATTAATCAAGCAAGACTACCATGGAAAACCTAGAAGCACTGGACGGCCGTTTCATTCTACTATTGAACTCCTCAGAAGTGCGTACCCATCTCCAGATTCGAACCCAGTACCTTCGATCTCACGTGAAAATGCTTAACTCCTAGAACATGAATCGGTATCCAACGGTGTTAATGTCTAATTTCAATCAATCCACGATGTTGCGTGACCGTTCACCATTGTCTTCAGTGAGTAACTGCCTCATAACGTACACGGTTGAACTCCACTAATCACGGCTTCTAACTAGAATCTCAGGAGATTCATCTTAAAGCCAGTCACTAGTGAGCACATGATGATAATTATCAGAATTGGGGTTTGTGGAGATTGTAGTAATTTTAGTCGTTGAGTCCATGAGGAGTCCCATACTGGGATGAAACTGTTTTCCAGTGCTTCCAGGTTATCAGTGGTGGTCTAGGTTAAATCGACTCATGAATTCAACCATCAAAATTTGTTAATTCTTTGCCTGACATACAAACGAAGAATTTTTATCGATTGTATTACTCCTATGATTACCCATTTATACGAGTTATGCAAACCGTACAAGGGTAATGTTAATTTTTCAAGTGATTACAAACTCCCTGACTCATCTTAATAGTAAGTTGGTTCACAATGAGAACTAAATTTAGAAGAAAACAATTGAAATTTAAGGATCACTAGGCATTTGTTTTGTCTTGGTATTAAATTCTTGAGGGATCTACTAGGAGTCTATTCCAGAATATTCATTCATCATAACGAGTATGTTACAACTGAATTATTGTTTTAAAATTTCATAAATCATATTCCATATTGAGCGTTCTTTACCTTCCTACATAAGATAAATATTCAATGACAACAATGAGTCAATTAATCAATTCTACATCAATACGAATTATTAAAACATAAATTTAACAACTGTCAACCAATATCGTCAAGGCAGTCCCAATGTATGGAGCTGAAAAGTAGAGAACTACTACAACAATCATTATAAGGTACAAATATTCATAAACAGTTGTCTATGCAAGATACTCAACATCCATTATCCGGATACCATCACCAACAGCTTACTGTGGCAAAAAAAAACAAACCAGCTCTCAACTGAAGAGAAAATCAGGAAAAGACGACGGAAGTGGATAGGACATACATTACGGAAATCACCAAACTGTATTACGAGGCAAGCCGTAACTTGGAATCAAGAAGGCGAGCGGAAAAGAGGAAGGCCGAAGAACACAATACGTCGGGAAATAGAAGCAGATGTGAAAAAAATGAATAACAACTGGAAAGAGCTGGAAAGTATTACCCAGGACAGAGTTGGATAGGGATTGCTGGTGGGTGGCCTATGCTCCTCCACGAGGAGTAACAGACATAAGTAAGTAGGTCAGTAAGTAAGTAAGTAAGTAAGTAACATCTTCTCACAAGTATATAGTCAGTTCAGATTCAAAATAATCATTTCATTGTACATAAAACTTACTTTCATTTTTATCAAATTTCCTTATCAACTATTCTATGTTTGTATCCTTGTATCCACCATATGTTTGTATGTATCTTTAGTTCATGATTAGTTGTATTCTTTTTTTTTTTTTTTTTTTTTTTGGTTTGTTTTACGAATTGCATCATCAATTTTTATAGACAATCATCAATTGAATGTAGACAATAGATAAGTGAAATAAAAGAAATAGATGTTTTAACCTACTTACTGACATAATCTAATTTCATATAATCACTGATTGTCACGTTCTAATCATAATGATGATTAAATAAGATAAGTCACAATTAATTTATCAAAATGAATTCATATTGAATGAAATAAAATGATTTATGTAATCATTAACAATAAGAATGTTGGGGAATATAGGAATCATTCAATTCCATGGGATTAATCATTCAATCAGTTATAACATAGGATCAGGCACATATGTGCATCGGTTCAAGTTGCCATAGTTCATTCATTTGCACAACAAGATAAACACCGGATTTATAGAAGTAGTTAATTCAACTGTGGTAATATATAAAAGAAAGACTGCATATGAGGACATAATATAGGAAGAAAGAATTAGTTGGTAGAAAAAAAGATATGAAGTGATTTTAATTTTATAGTTTAAAGGAAGACAAAGAGTGTATACACCTACGCCGTTGTGACCGATTCTGAAACATGTCATTCACAGTCTTCATTTATTGGTTATGATATTCGCGTAGACCCTTACCAATTAGTCGGCATCTACCAACATGACTGACACCACAAGTTAGTGACTTCAAGGACTGATGCGACGTTTAGATTTGGTCGCCCCTAACTTTCGTCCAACTATTCCCAACACTGGTCAGCATTACGCGTTGTGGTAATCGGAATTCAAGCATACGTAACATGTGGCCTTACCATCTAAGTCGATGAAGATTCAACTGATTTACCATCATTCTTTAATACCCTGCGTCTAACCTCTTCAGGGGTTAACTAACTTAGAACTATTCTTTACATATTATCCATCCAGTTCAAGATTTATTATTCGCCCTTAAATATATTAGTACGAACTGCTAATATGAAAGGATAGTTTTCTAACGTAGATTACATTGCTTTAACTATATATTTTTATCAGAAGGGGTTTTGTGGATATTATAGTGATTTTTTTAAATAGTTGAGATCATGAGTCAATTGAAACTAGACCATCATGAAAAACCTGGAATCACTGGACGGCCGTTTCGTCCAACTATGACAGTCCTCAGCAGTGTGCGTCTTAATTTTAATTATTTTGACTATTGACTTAATTCCAACTTATCAATCTGTATAAATATTTAATTAAAATGGAATAATAGGACGAAACGTGTGTCAAACTGGATTCCACTGCTAGCCACCATCCATCTTTGCTTACAATGCTTGTGAATTAAGGAAATATCGAGGCAGTCCTTA